ATTTAACCAGATAATCAAAACGTGTGGCCTTGAGCAAATTAGGTTTTCTGTATCTTCATATTCTCATCTGTAAAACTGAGGTTGTAAGTTATCTCTCTCAAAGAGTTGTCGTTGGAATAATATGTATATGATGCTCAAGGCCTTATTTCATATTATATATTGTTACTATCATGGTATGACAAGTTTATAGCTTTCATATGTATAATGATCCTATGTTTTCAAATGTTTTTGATATTTCTGAAAATATTCTCTAGGTAAAACACCCTGTCAATGATTCTACTTATCCCATAAGACTTAGATAGAAGTTAAGTATATCATTGATTGTGATACCTACAATGGTTCCAGTTGTGATTTTTTTGACTTTACAGTGGTGTGAAAGCTGGAAATTTACTAGAAACTGTAGTTTGAATGTTGGATTTTAATCTTTTCCTGCGTTAGCAATATAGGTATGATATACTGTCACAGTGCTGGGCAACAATACTCTACAATGTGATGTGTTTTAGTAATTTTTGCATATGGGTGCCCACTAAATGACCTGAGCCATCCATCAGTTTGTTATAAAATAGGTTTTGTGAGAGATTATTTTGTCCAACTCTAGGCTAGTGTATGTGTTCTGGATGTCTTTAGGGTAGCCCAGGCTAAGCTATGATTTTTAGTCAGTTAAATGTACTATATGCCTTTTTGACTTATAAACATTTTCAGCTTGTCTTAGGATCATTGGGGGTAATGATAATAACTTATAGGACATCTTTGCTGGTGTCAGGGTATCAGTCCTCTCTAAAGGATGTGAGGGGATGGCTACCTCTGTCACATCATTTCTTGGAACTGGGATGAGTTTTAGCAATATTGGGGCATGAACTCCATTTACTTTTACAACTCCATTTCCATTCAAATCAGTAAAGCTGAAACTATGAGGCAGAACAAGATCGGCAACTCATCTTTCTTGGTGATCTAATTAGTGTCCATACAGGAGAGAGAAGAATCTGGTTTTACTCATTAGGATTTAGCAACTATTAAGAGGAGTGGCTCAGGATGAGGTATGAACTCTTCCAGGAAGTCCTCTAAAGCAAACTTGGTAGGGGACGGGGAGGGCACCTGCATCATTTAAAAAAGAGTGAGATAGGACAAAGCTTTTCCTGTCCATGGGGATCCTCCTTGATCTCCCTTACCTTTGACACTCTCCTGTACTTATTGTCCTTTACATACAATTTAATCCTTAATTATATCATGTCCTGCTGTACAACTCCATGTGTATTACTCACATCTCCCCCAAGAGATTGCAGCAATTTGAGAAGACAGATCATATTTCCTTTTCTGAAAGATGACTGATGTGCCAACAAAAGCAATAAGCTCAATACCCATATTATATATTAAGAAAAACTTAGATTGCTTAGTTGGTTGTTTTTGAAAACTAGTTCATTAGACAGTGTCTAAAAACTGGTTCCCTACCTAATGTCACACTTGAAAGTATTCAATAGATGAATTAAAGACCTAATATTAAATATAAAATTCATAGAAGAAAAATACAGTAAGATGTTTTTATGATTAACAAAGAGGAAAGGACTATCAAAGAACTTTCAAAACAGTTGCAAGGCTGAAAAAATTTGTATGATTGCATAGATTTTCATTTCACCAACAATACAAATAGAAGAAAAAGGATGTGATATCTATAAAAATATATATAATGTAAGCAAACAACAAAAATAAAAACATAGGCAAAAAATATGTACAGAGGATTTGTAGAAAGAAAAACTCCAAAAGAAATGAGGTTACAAATTTATTCGTGATTTGAAAAGTGCACATTAAATCATGCATAAGTAAGACTGCTACTTTATGCCTATTAGGTTAGCAAATAATGCCAAGAAAAGAAAAAGTAATTGCAAATTATATGAAGTGGACTATATGTTTGTGTACTCCTGTAATAGTTTAAATATCAAATGTCTTCAAAACAGACTTGTGTTTTAAAAGCGTTCTACCTAGTAGATAGCACTATTTGGTAGGATATGGACCCTTTAGCAAGTGAGGTATAACCAGGCAAAATAAGTCTCTAGGGGCAGGCAATTGAAAGCTATGTGGAGCCCCAGTTTCTATGGAAACTCTTTTCTCCTTTCTGGTCTACTGTGCCATGACAGCTATCTACTCATTGTTTGTCTCCAGTGTGGTGCTGTTTGAGGAGGCTGTGGAGCCCTCAGGAAATGGAGCCTACCTGGGGCAGGCAGGCTATTTGAAAGTTGTACCCAGGCCGTGGTTATAATGCTTTCTATCTTCTTGCCTACTGTGATGTGAAAACGTAACCTGTGTCACACATTACCCCAGCTCTGGTGTTCTGCTCAAATGCACGGGACCAACCAACTATGGACTGAGATAAAATAAATATTTCTTCCCTTAAGTTATGTCTGTCAGGTGTTTTGGTTCTTATTCATGAAAAGTAATAAATAATTATCCCTTCATATTTTGAGGAAAATTTTCTATGACCAAGAAGTAGGTTTTTACCAGTTGCCAAGTCTACTAGGATCTTGATATCAAACTCCTGAACTTCCAAATCTGTTTGAAATAAAAGCTTGTTGTTTAAATTACTCTGTCTATGGTGTTTTTGTTATTAAAACAAGAACAGAGTAAGACAATGGATGTTGGGAAAGATGTGCAGACATATGAATCAATCTGTACTGCAGATGAGACTGCACACGGACTCAGCCACTCGGAAGAGTAGTTCTTACCAGTGAGTGAAATTATGCCTCATGAGCCAGGAATTCTGCTTCCAGAAATACTCTTCTATATTGATAACAGGATAAGGAGCGTATGTTTTAGGGTGTTTCCTACAATGACTGGCCAAAGCAAGGGTAGTATATGGCAGATCCAAACTATTGCTGGGAAGTTAATAGCAATGAATTCAACACCCAGTCAGCAGCATGGGGAGGTAGTTCATTCAAAATGATCTGCATAAAAAGAGGATGGAACGAAATTGATTTATAGCACAAAAGGCAAGTTTAAAGTATGCTCACAGGAACAAAATGTGCTTCTTCAAGAATGATTCCAAACAACAACAAACACTCATGAAACAGAATGGTGACATGTAAAGGAAGGAATAAAGGACATTAAATATGTAGCAGGCCCCAGGGCTCCATAGCTTAGTTAAGTACCTATCCCATAAATACATAGTGACAATCACAAAAGGCTCTAAATATGCCTGTGAGAATAATATGTCAGTATTTAACTCGATTTCTGTCCCTGACCCTTGAAAATACACTCTCAAATTCAGTTTCTATTACATTCATATCTCCAAATTTTGCTTTTTTATTTAATATTTAAAAATAAAAGGTAATAAAATGAGATATAGCAAAAAGTGACACATCAGAATCGGACAAAACAAACAGCAGGAAAAGAAACCAAAAGAAGGGGCAAGAGTCAGAGACTCACTCATTTTCACACTCAGAAATCCCATAAAAACACTAAGTTGGAAGTCATAATAGAGATGCAGAGGACCTGGTGCAGAGCCATGCAGGCCCTGTGCATGATGCTGAGAGTTCATATGTTGTTCATTTATTTTAAGATCTGTTGCAATTCTATCTATTTAATTCAGTAAGGGTAGATTTTATTAGTTGTTATGTATTTAAACAATAACAACAATATTGAATGTAGACTAAGTAAGACAAGTTTTAAGTTAAGTTTAAGACAAGTTTAAGAATAGTAATAAGTAATAACATTTTTATCATTCAAAGAATTTATTTTTTCAAGTAACACACACATCACAAAGTTTTATGGAGTCAATGATGTAAGAGGAAATGGAAGATATTGGGACACACACACACACACACACACACACACACACACACACACTTGCCTCATTCTCATTCTGAGATTCCTCAAGAGTTTATTGCAAATGTCATTATCCAAAATACTCTGAATATAAAAGGATGGGAGAGCATACATCAATCTATAAACATGAATTATATGTTGGTACATGAGGAAGAAGGATAACTTAATGTTAATGGAGAATACACATTAGAAACGTGATCTATAGCATTATTGCAACCATGATGTAGTTGAGCATGTTGCATTCAGGAATATGGTGACATGAAAAAATGACAATGGATTGGAGAAAGAAAACGTTTTAAGGAAAAAAGTCTTGACTAAAATATGAAATACAATCGTATTTCATACACATTTCAACATATGTGGAATTTATTAATTTCACATATTTCAAATATAATTATTTATTCCCCTTTAAGTGACTTCACTTTCGTGTTTTCTTCAGATGAGTTAATCTGAGCTGTTTTTGAGTGAGGATTCATGGACATTCATAACACAACTTTAAAAAACTAAATAAGCATTTCCCTTCTGGAGGGCCTCCTGGACTTCAGCTTTACCAAAACTGTTAGCACTAACTATAAATATTATGTAGTAAATCTGGGCCTCTTGCCTTTAATAACACATTTACCAGGTAAGATTGATATTTTCGTTATCTTTTTATATCTATTTTATTTTTTATTTATTTATTTATTTATTTATTTATTTATTTGGTTATTTTGAGACAGGGTTTCTCTGAGTAGCTTTGCGCCTTTCCTGGAACTCACTTGGTAGCCCAGGCTGGCCTTGAACTCACAGAGATCCGCCTGCCTCTGCCTCCCTAGTGCTGGGATTATCTATTTTAAAAACTGTGTAAAGTGGCCTTACAAGAAAGTATGTTGTCATCAAAAACTAGTTCCAGAGTGGTTAGACTTTTTCTTTTAGGGAAACCCAGAGAAATTAGAAAAACAATTAGGCTAGATACCTTCACATACAATCCTTTGTCTTAAAGGAGATATTTGAGTCAGAATCCCCATTTGTTAGGCATATTCCCTCACCTCAACTCTACCTATACATCCCATGAAATACAGGATAAACAGGTCTGAGGTGGAGGGCTAGAAAGCCACAAAATGATGTTGATGTGGGTGGTTTGAAAATTATGATTTTGAGAAATAAAATAAATGGCCTACAAAATTCAAATTTATCTGACTTACCAAATTTTCATTCACCTCCTGTAAGTCCTTCAGTTCATTTGAGCTCTTTCGTCCTGAATTGCTAATGGCTTGAATATCTGAAATTGTAATGGTCCCTTGATAATATTCCATTTTCTGGCCTGTGATGATAATGAAAAGTAGAAAATACATAATCTATGAAGACTTCAGGATCCAAGATCTAACTATAATGGGCCTGAAATGAAGTCTTAAATATATCACCAAGCTTCTTTCTATTGAGTTTAATAAAAATATAATAAATTAACAGAGTTTTATATTAATAATAGTAGCTGACATTTGTTGAATCTTTACTATGTGCAGAATGCTGTTCACATGTATCATTTGATCATAATTCCAGTTTCCTGAGATTGGCATCACTTCTCTTTCATAAAGGAGGAAAGTGAGACACAGTAGCATTAAATAGCTTGATGTTTGTTATACAGCTATTAGGTGGCCTTTTCGAAAGTTTCAATCTTACAGTGTGGCTCTAGAACTTGGATGCTCATTGTTATGTTTTCCTGTGCTTTGTTGAGGTGTAAACCATCCATGAGTACAGGTAAGTGGGCATTCTCACAGACTTTTACTTGTGGTGAAAGATCCAAGTACGGTGAAGGAGATCACAAGCAGAAAAGCCGTCCGAGATTGCAACAGTTTGTAGCAGAGGCGTCAGTCAGCTCATGGGCTGGTCATCAGGAATGAAAAGAAAAGAGATCGGAGCCTGTTTTCAAACAGTACTCCCATAGTTAAAGATGCTTTTGTACAGTTAAATGAACTGACTCATGGGTAGATCTTTTGTCATTGGTGTAAACCGCTATTGGGGTTTCAGTATAAGACTCTGAATATGGTAGGATGTCATTTGCATCTCCTAAAAGAGGTGTCACCCCTCACCAAGTATTTAAAGATGGCATCAGATACAACCGTTCAAGTAAGCAGCTTTAGCTACTCATGTTTATCACACACATTCATCATCTGAGTGTGCCATTGTGGAGACTTGTCAAAAACGCAAATGGTTTATACTTAGCCAAGAAAGATGTAACACAGAGAGAATTTTAAAATGCATTACTTGCATTAATATAAACATGTTAGACAATAAACACAAAATTATTAAATACAGTTTTGGGAAGAGTAATTTTTTTTAAGAGTAAGTGATAATATTGAGTCATACTTTATCTGCAGTTTTAAAATTCATTATTTCATTACACATGCTTTTTTCCTAGAAATTCTACTGGGCAGAGAACAATGGCTAAAAGTAAAAGAACCAATTTTGATAGCACATTTATTATAGTCTTTCATCTTGATATGCAGCAAATGATAAGATTTGCAGAGTCTTACTGTTAGTAGCCCACAGAAAGTAACTATTTTTGGTATTGTATGTAAATTCTAAAAAATTGTACCTCATCAAGTGAGAAGCTTGTACACTTTGATGAACACTGTATCATAAGCACCCAGAAAAGTATTTGCATTAATAGTGGTACAATAATAATTTGTTGATGAAATGACAGAATAAGCTTTAAAATATTCTGAGTGGGGAGAGTCCCGGGTGAAAGTATGGATCTCCTTTACAGATATGCAAATCATGCTGTCCTGTGTGGGAAAGTGAAATTACCAGTTCTTCCTACCAGAGACTAAGACGTGAGCCAGAAGTCCAATGGTCACTGCCACCATCATCAGGGAGAGCACTGTGAGAAGGGCAATTATCCATGGTTTCAGATCTCTGCTCTGGGTGCCACATCCTGCCACTCTGAACAAAGGAAGGCTATCGTTACTCTTACGTGGGAGTAGTTACAAGTTTTCTGGTTGTGATTGGATAAATTCACATGGCTACATGGTTCCTTACAGCAAGAGGCCATTTTTTTTTTTTCAATTTCGGTTAAGGCTATCTTCATCCTGGGAGGAGCTGCTGAAAAGATTAGACCTAGGAATCCTGTTCTTGCCCTGGTTTCTGCTTCTAATGCCATTTGGTGGCACCACTGTGATGCCAAACTGTTGTCAGCAGAGGTTCCAATGTCCTACATGCTGGCAAAAGCCCACCCCTTTCCGGTGCTCTTTTGTGTCTTATCAGTCTATCTAAGTTTCATAAACTTTTTTTTTTAAGATTTATTTATTTGTATGTGCATTGGTGTTTAGCCTGCATGTATGTCTGTGCGAGCTTGTCGTATCCCCTGGAACTGTTGTGAGCTGCCATGTGGGTGCTGGGAATTGAATCTGGGTCCTCTGGAAGAGCAGTGAGTGCTCTTAACCACCCCCGAGCCCTTTTTTTTTTTTTTTTTTTTTTTTTTGGTTTTTCGAGACAGGGTTTCTCTGTGTAGCTTTCCGCCTTTCCTGGATCTCGCGCTGTAGACCAGGCTGGCCTCGAACTCACAGAGATCCGCCTGCCTCTGCCTCCCGAGTGCTGGGATTAAAGGCGTGCGCCACCACAGCCCGGCTATTCACCCTTTTTAACTAGTGTGAAATCTTAAACAAGGAAAATTAGAAAAGTGTAAAAAATTTTGTTCATCTTATAATTTTATCAATCACATTCTTGTCATTCATTCATTTTACTTCTGCATTAATAATGTGAATTAAGACATTATGACCTTTCACCAAACCATTTCTATAAACAGGCTATTTTCAATATCACATTAGCTTTCCTAACATTAATATTGCTCTAATATCTTCTAATAGTCAGTTGACCCTCAAATAACTTTTTATCTTCATAGTATTTACAGTTGTTTTACACAGGCCAGGATACAATCCTGTTTTAAACAGGTCCATGCAGAGTTTGTGGTAACTATGGCTTTTAAGTTTCTTTTAGTCAGAAACAACCATGCTTCCTTTGAAGTTTGGATGCCCTTGTTGAAGAGATCAAACTAAAAGTCTTTAAATAGTTCTGCCTTCTGTTCTTGTCTGATGCTTCCTTGAGGTATCAGTCAGCTTGCTTTTCTAACTTCCTTTTAAAAAGGATTTACATTTTAAAGCCTTAATTAGGTTTGGGTTAAATTAATTTTACACAAATACTTTACATATGATAATGTGAGCTTTATACTTCATTAAAATAAGAGTAGAGAAAATTGTCACAGTTTGGGATGAAAAGCTGCCTTTCTTCTATTAACTTTTGATGAGCAAATATGTTCATTGTATTTTATCACGCAATTATATGAGTGTGGAACTCCTTAATGGGCTGCACTAAGTTAGGTCATCTTTTACTACTAAAACCTGATGAGGACCCTGAGACAGAATAAAATTTTATAGACTGATAAGCCACAAGCAGGTTAAACCAAGCTTGCATATGAATTACAAGAGCCTAGTGAGAGGTCATCAGGCCCTCTAACTCTAGTGATCCATCTCAACAGTTTTTCACTATACTAGTCATGTTTGCCAGCTTTGTTAGTTTATCATTTCATATTTATATATTGATGACAATATTTCCCCTGGAGCCAAATATATTCTTCATATTTCCTTCACAGAATATACTGAAATGTTTTATTCAAAGTGAAGTTTCAGCATATAGTGATTATTTATTTTTTGGAATATAAAACAATTTTTGTAAGTTAATGTTAAGGTAAAAAGTATAATAGTTGAGGTCTAAATAATAAATACAAAGACAGATTTCAGATGGATTTGCCAGTGTAGATGGGAAAAGCACACAAGATCTCAACCTACACGAAGAACTATAGGCAACTGAGAAAAGCTAGAAGAAGGAGAGGTGGTCCTCCTTAGGGAAGAGCGTGGCATGCCAACCGGTTGTCCAGTGCCCAACAGTCAACTCTGAAAGCATAAATACAAATAACATTACACGGACCAAGCAGGCTATATTTAGAATATACATGAATAAATGTATACACATGCATATATGCATGCAGTAACAATAAATGAAAGAAGAGGCTATGGATTTGCTGGAGAGTGGGAAGGGGGTATATGAAAGGGTTTGGAGGGAGAAAATGGAATGGAGTAAAACTGTAATTACATTACAATCTCAAAGATTAAAAGAATACATTTATCCTATAAGCCTGAGAGGCATGAATTCTGTGTATAGAGAATACAGACCATGCGGACAATGGTTGATTAAAAATAACCCAGAGTTGGCTGAAGAAAGGCTGTATGTTCTCTGACTGATGCAATCTATCACACTCAATTATAAGAGCAAGCAGATGCTCCGCCAGATGAGGTACTGTTTCACCTTCTAATTGCCCTGATGCTTAAATTCAAAATGAAAGAAATCTTAGTATAATTTAGCCACACTCCGAAAGAAGACACCTGTGTTCAGAGACATCAAGTGATTTCTCTCACATAACAGAAGTTGGTGATTTCTCAAACTAAGGTCTTTTGACTTCTAGAACACAAATTCTTGGTGGCAGACTCCCTTTCAGTTAGTAACATTTTGGATTCTTAAATGTGCTTAGAGCTTATGTGTTTATCTATTCATTTATATATGAGGTAGCTTCTCTATGGCTGCCTTGGAAGAGTTTCCTGGCCAAGAAAATGGGACTTCGGGTCAGCTTCCTGAGACTGTGTTCTGTCTCAGTTGGGTCCCTTTCATGGACTCTTGTTAGTGTGCCCAAACAAAAGTTGTCCAAAGAAAGAAAGGCTTAACTTAAGAATATGTTCAAAATGCCAAGAGGTGGTGGTGCACGCCTTTAATCCCAGTACTTGGGATGCAGAGGCAGGTGGATCTCTGTGAGTTCAAGTCCAGTCTGGTCTACAGAGTGAGTTCCAGGACAGGCTCTAAAGCTACACAGAGAAATCCTGTCTCAAAAAACAGTGACAACAACAAAAAGAATATGTCCAAGCTTTCAAATCTATCCATTTCCTTATCATACAACAACAGTTCCTCTGAATAGAACAGATAGAGGAAGGCAATGGTGAAAAACCATACCCCTACTGCTCAGGTATTTACACAGGGAAAAAGAGCGGTTCAACTTCACTGTATGCTGCTAAAGTGCCATATGAGTTGCATCTTCAAACCCCACTGAGGAGCTGTGAGCATCTGGGGGAGAATGGGTAACAACAAACTACAGTGAGAACTTTCACTGGAAGTGTTATATTTGGGGGGCTACTGGAGGTGACTGAGTGGTTAAAAGTGCATGCCGCTCTTGCAGAGAACCCGAATTCAGTGCCCAGCACCCATGCCTGGCAGAACACAGCTGCCTGTGACTCCAGTCTCACAGGGATTCAATACCTCTGGCCTCTGTGTGCACTTACACTCACATTCGCACACCCATGCATAATAAAATGAAATGTAATGTGTCTTAGAGATGCTTCAGGGACCGTAGTCCCCGTACAACTTTGAGTAACACAAGCTACACAGCAAGCCCTAAGTTATAGCTACTGCTACTTAATCTTACGTAAATAAACACTTCATTTAAGACCAACTTTTATGGATATAAACATGCAATGCATGAAGGCAAAAAACACACCATTACCTTCCCATTCTGCACAGGCTCAATTAGTCATCTGCTTAAGATGACTTCAGATTAGCAAAGAAACACTTAGTAAAGCTGTTTGGACTCTAGCCTGTCTGTAAATGGGTGCACCATTTTGTTATACACTGTTTCCCTTGTGCTGTCAAAACAAACACAGGTGTATTCATTTTCTATCCCGGGGTAACTAATTACCACAAATTAGCAGCTCAAAGCAATACCTAGTGCTCTATGTGGCTTGTCTGGCTTCTCTGCTCATGTTCTCTCTCTCTCAACTTAAATATGATGTATTTGGGTTGCTTATTTTTATTGTAATTTTTGAGATTATATTTTAATTACATTTTTTTTTCTCCCCTTTCCTCCCTCCAAACCCTCCCATATGCCTCTCCCCTCTCTCTTTTAAAGTTATGGCCTCTTTTTTCACTAATTATTATTACATGCCTATATGTATAGCTATATACAAATATTCCTAAACATAAGAAGTTCAGTCTCTATAATATTATATGTATGTTTTCAGGGCTGACCATTTGGCCCTGGACAACCCTCTTTTGGCCTCTTATGACTGAGATTGAGGTTTCGGTTAGGGCTGCTTTCATTGTCTGTGGTTTTTGAACCATTTCCAAGTTCACCAGAGTAGCAGAGCTCAATTTCTTACCGCTGAACTGAGGTCAAAGTAAAGCCCAGTTCTTTCTTAAGGTATTATTGGATTAGACCTCCAAGAATAATATCCCATTTAAAAAAATCAATTTCCTGGGGACATCATTACATCGGTAAAATCCCCTCACTGCATCTAGATAGGTATTTGATTCGTATTCCTTCTCCTGGAGAAGGAACGTGTACAAGAGAGGGTGGGGATGTTGCTGGTCATTTCAGAATTTGGCCCCACTACAAAGAAAAATATTGTGACTTTAATGAGAATGAATACTTGCACTATCTGGGGGGGAGCACGTGTGAACGAAACTCTAAGCCTGGTCTTGGAGAACTGTTCCATGAGAAGGGAATTCTAAAATGGGTATTGAATAAAAAGAACAGGAGGGAATGTTTTATTCCAGTAATGTTTTTAGACACACAGAGTAAACTCTTAGAAATTAAAATGAGGAAAGAGCTAGAACTAATCCCTGGTCATGCCGTAATTGGCACTTTGCATTCTTTTGGGGACCAGGAAAGTATAAATGATCCTTATTCTGAACTGCACAACCTATAATCTCCATGAAACCCAGTTCGTCACATCCATTACCTTCATTAGTCAGTTTTGAGAAGGGTGTGTTCATGGCTTGTTTTCCTTTTTAGATGCTGTCAAAGAAATATGGTACTAATTCAATAATGTGACTTTGCTTCTAAATCTTGCAGGTTGAAAAGACACAGAGAGCTAGAGAGTATGCAGTTCCTTAGTATCTTCATATGTGTGAATTCAAAGATTACTTAAGCAAAAGGACATGCTGAGCCTTGTGTCCCATAGGGATCTTCTTTTCCCTAGGAAGACCTTGCCTGACAGGCAACCTGTCCTTTATTGTTTTGTCTATAGGCCTCAGAGCTTTCATCCTTTGGAATTATTTTCCTGCTTTCCCTAAGAAGGTGCATGTTATTGCTATGCAAATGTCTTAGGGTTACTATTGCTGTGATGATACACCATGACCAAAAGCAAGTTGGAGAGGAAAGAGTTTATTTGGCTTTCACTTCTGCATCACTGTTCATCATAGAAGGAGTTCAGGACAGGAACCCAGACAAGGCAGGAACCTGGAGGCAGGAGCTAATGCAGAGGCTGTGAAGGAGTTACAGTTTACTGGCTTACTGGCTTGCTCCCCATGGCTTGCTGACCCTGCTTCTTATAGAACTCAAGACAACCAGCCCAGGGGTGGCACTACCTACAATGGTCTGGGCCCCCTTCCCTACCAATCACTAATTGAGAAAATGTCCCTCAGGCTTGCCTATAGCCCAATCTAATGGAGACATTTTCTCAACTGAGGCCCCCTCCTCTCAGAAGACTCTAATTTCTGTCAAGCTGACATAAAACTAGCCAGCACGAAATGTGTATACATAAGATTGCCATGCAACTGTCTATTTACACCTTGGTTGTGTCCCTACAGATTTTCATGAAACCTCTTTTTTAACTTCATTTTATATTATATGATGTAAAAAGAGATTTTGCCCAGTTTCTCATTCCACAAGTCTACTTATTAATGTAAGTAAACAAAGGTAACAAATATATTTTTAAGGAGCCAACACCAGGGACTGAGGAGATGGTTTGGTGGATTGGAATGCTTAGTGCTCATTCAGAGGAGCTGGGTTCAGCTCCCAGCACCCACATGGTGACTTACAGCAACCCATAACCCCAGTTCCATTGAATCCAGCTCACTCATGACTTCCACAGACCCCTCTCCCTTTCCCTTGCCTGGGAACTTTCATTTGTGGAAAATTCTTACAGAATCTAAAAATTTCCCTTTGAGCATTTGCTGCAAGAAGTCCTCAGCCATTCACTACAGGGAAAAAAGCAAAGAACATTTTGTGGTGACTTTGACATAGAACTGTCTACTGATTAATCTTTAAATATCTTTTAGAATCACCATTTAATACAAAAAATATAGATATACCAGCTATTACTTGAAATTATACTTTATAGGGTTAATATATTACCACATGTGACCTAAAAATCACTCTTGTCACTAGAATCACTTGTAGTACTTTTGTAGACAGAAACAACTTATTAAGTTCATATATCTTGAGTCTTCAGCTAGGACCTCATTTATTTTAGAAAAATATATTCCTATTTCTAATGGATGGTGCACAGTTGTGTGTGTGTGCAAGGCCTATGTCGTGATATTTCAATATATGTATACAATGGGCAATGATCAAATCAAGGTTGCTGCATATCTATCACTAGGTGTTTATCATTTTTTTGGCTAGGGATTTTCAAAATCTCCTCCACTAAGCATTTTTGGAATACTCAATTAATTATTACCCTTAATTGTTTTCCTAGCAATAGAATATTAGAAGTGATTCCTTCTTCGCAATTGTGTAATGGTATCTGTTAGGTGTTTTCCCTGCATTTGGCTTCTATGAACCAGAACACTTCTTTTGGGAAAGCAAATTGTTCTTTAAGAGGCTGGTTTTTACTTGTTAAGAAAGTTTTCCAGATGGCACAAATGGATGATTCATGAGATTTGGGCAGCGTGGAAATAAAGGCTTTCTTGAAATGAGGTAGGGACTGTTTTACTGGACAAAAGTTTTATCAGTCTTTGCTGTGCTGGCATCTCGAATTTGAGTTTGACTTTGCACTTTCACCCTTGCTATTGGCCTTAAATGTGTGTGTGCACGTGTGTGTGTGCACGTGTGTGTGTGTGTGTGTGTGTGTGTGTGCATGTGTGTGCTTTCCAAAAATAATTATTCCCTTCAGCCCCCACTTCAAAGAGATTTTGTAATAATGGCAGTGATGATTTGAGAGACAGAAGGCTAAGAGGAAGGATGCAAAGGGAAATGCAATGAACACACACTTTTCTATGCAGCTAAGTGATACCTTCAGATTTTAATTTGTGTGTGTGCATGTGTGTGCATGCTCATGTATAGGTGCAGAAGCCAGGAATTTGGTGTTCTCTGCTACTATATGTCTTATAACTTTGAGTCAAAACTTTTCATTGAACCTTGAGCTAGACTGGTGACAAGCCCCTGGAATCCTCCTGTCTCCACTGCATCCTCCCATGCTGGGTAACAGGTGGGCATGACTATACTTAGGTTTTTTTTTTTTTTTATGAGTTCTGAGGATTTTTACTTACATCCTCATGCTTGTGATGCAAGTGTTCTTACATTTCCACAGCTCACAGTTTAATTTCTCATAGCTTATGTAGACATATATCTTCTCCAAAATTAAAAGATCAGGAGGGCAGTAAATAACTCATGCACAACACTGGGACACTTCTTAAGCATGTTCCCAAGTAGGAAGAAGAGGGGATGCTTCTCATAATCAAATACTATTTGGTAATGAAAATAAAAACAATTTGGGAAATTTTGAAAAGGATCTTTTTTTTCTGAGCTTTTAGTGGTTTCAAATGAAGAGAGTAAAAATGGGAAGCATGTCCACAGTTTTCTACATGACTTGGCCATTGCCACACTCACAGTGCATCACACACCACTTACTGGAAATGAAAATTTTCCATGCCTACTTCTCATCAACTTCTGTTCCACTGCTTCTTGGATCCTCTCGCTTCTTAGAAGGAGCAGAAGACATGGTTGTGCACGCGTTCTCACCCGTGTGAGGTGTCTTCAATGACAGGAGAAACTGAGAGACCTATCTTCTTGTATTTCTGTCTTATCTACCTCCCAGAGCTGGTGGCCAGCCAGGAGGGCAAGGCAAGAAGGAGAAAACTATGTAAAATATCACTGTGTGTTGAGAACAAAGGACATTTTCCGTGGGGAAAGACAATGGAATTCAGGCTGAGCTAAGTTCAGGGAACTGAGAAGGAAATAGGGAATGCGGGAGAGACTTCAGCACCTCAGCTGTTTGCCCTGGTCCCAGGGATGCAGATCGGAAACCAAAACCAGCTTTTAAGGGGGCTTAGCTGTGAGAAGCTTCACATTGTCAGAGGAGGATGTGAGCTGAAGGCTGCTGTGAACAAGTTTTCTCCACCCCAATAGTGTCCTCCATGCAGTAAGTAACATACGGATGTGGCCATTATCGGCCAATTTGTTGTTATTATTATAATTACACACAATATAAATCAGCCATTCTGGAAAAAAGAGTATTTTATTATGAGGATATTGCAAGGAATTTTGGTACCACAAGCATTTGGGGTTTTTAATCATCTTGGAGTCGCACCAAAGACGTTTACACAAGTAGACATCAGAAAGAACCTAGGGCCTAATCAATGACAAGAAAACTTGCTACTGAGGTTCAATTGACACAATAAATTCATGGTAGTATTTAAAATGTGTACTATTAATAGGACAATAAAAGATTAAATAAACAGGCAAAACAAAGCTTATTATACTATGTTCTATGTTCCCCCAAAGATAGGTAGTACTTAATGCTCCTATGTAGTGTATGTATGTGTTTATGTGTATGCATGTGAGCATTTAGTCTTGACACATTTTTCAGTTTCTTCCATTAAAGTAAGTAATGAGTTTGTTGGATTGGCGGTTGAGATTCAAGCTGGAATGATCATCCATCTACTAAGAATGATTTCTATTTATGTAAACGCCTGTGTCACAGCATCCTTCAACACAAATCTATCCTAAAAATTACCTCTAAAAGTTAACCAGCTATAGCAATATATTCTAGTCTTCACTTTTGGGTTTTTATTTATCTATTACCTTTCTCACTCAGTTATACATCTACTTATCCACTTGTATCTATTTTCTGCAAGTTTTTCTTGAGACCTTATTGTGTTTTAAACACCATGCTGAGTTTGGGGGAGTAAGGATGACTATGACATAGGCTCTAAGTTCAAGGAAACCATGTTACAACCCTTTCTGTGACTGTTGAGACAAAGTCTCTTGTGTTGACCAGGCTGACTATAAACATACACATTCCACCTGCCTCAGTTTTCTAGATGCTGACATTATAGGAATACGCCACTGCACACAGCTTCATGGTACAACTTTTAAGACCTATGAGATTAAAAATAATATAGTACTGCAAACTTTTTTCTGTAAATATTTAAACTAGCAAAAAAAATTCATTTCATTAACAAATATGAAAGTTCTCTAATTCTTAGAAATGTTCTCTGATTTTCCTTCTGCGTGATATAGCCCAAGCATTTTATATGGACATATTGACTTACTGTTTAAGGTAAGCCGGATCCTCTGGATAAGTGAGACAGTTGATTAGCTTGAATTGTTTAGGAGGCCCCCAGACAATGGAACCAGGACCTGTCCTTGGTGCATGAGCCGGCTTTCTGGAGCCTTGGGCCTATGCTGAGACACTTTGCTCAACCTTGGTGTAGGGAGGAGGGGACTGGACCTGCCTCAACTCAATCTACCAAGCTGGGCTGACTTCCCAGGGGAGACCTTGCCCTGGAGGAGGTGGGAATGGGGGGTGGATTGGGAGGGGAGGCTGGGGGTGGGAGGAGGGAGGACAGGGGAATCTGTGGCTGATACATAAAATTAAATTAATTATAAAATAAAACTATTTTTAAAAAAGAAAAAAGAAATGCTTGCTTTCAGTGTGTGGTGTGACTTGTGTTTTGAGGTTTCCACAACCTTGTCAGCTTCAGTTCCCTTACCCTGTGTTAAGTAGCGATAATTAACCTTACCCATAGGTGGGAAGGCACAGAGTGAGCAAATGAAGGTCTCTAGCATATACTGAGTCCTATTCTGGTCTGGAGTTTTCATTTAGGGTTTCAATCTTTTTAGGGTGGAACAACCTTTTCACAAGGGTCACGTATCAGATATCCTGCATATCAGATATTTACATTATGATTCATAACCAAAGCAAAATTAGAGTTATGAAGTAGCAATGAAAGTAATTTTATGGTTGGGGGTCACCACAACATGAGGAACTGTATTAAAAGGTCTCAGCATTAGGAAGGTTGAGAACCACTGATATAGATGATATCATGTATTTGATGCCACAGCTTGGTGAGACCAGCCTTAGCGCTACCATTTCACCAGTAAAGTTAGAATTAAGGGAAGGAAAGACCTTGTCTGTGTGGCTTCAAAACTGCCTGTTTGCAGCCAGATCACCTTGGTACCCAATGGGAAAGCCCAAGATAGAATAGTATTCAAGGTTTGCTTACTGGATGTACTTTTAGTGGGTCCACTTCTGCCACTGCCTGGGATTTTCAGACATATTAAGGAGTGTGTCAGATGGAGTAATTGTGATCTGGGGCAATGTTTTCTTCTCATGTAAACTGTGATTACAGAGGTTTGTTTTTTACCAGGATTATAATGAATAAATAATCTAACAAATACCGTGATTCAAACTGGTGCATCCTTAACAAATAGGCAATAAGGAAAAGCCCCAGTTATAATAAGTACAAATAAATTACTACCCAATGTGGAATTATGGACTTCTCTGATAATAAATTCCTACAATCTTGACTCCCAAGTATAATATACATGTATCTTCAGTCTTCCTCTTTTATTAGAAATATTATTCCTTATATTCCTGATAATTAAGAAGTGAGAGCACAACTAAGACAATGATTTACAAATCTCAGTGACACAAATATTCCCTTCAGTCCACTAACTATAGAGAGGTACCTGGAGAGTGATGAGACTGTGAGTACTTCACCAAAATTTAGAATTAGAAAACACAAAATATTATAGTCTAAAAAGCTATTAAAGAGAGGAAAAGCAGGATGCCCTTTCCATTAATCTTGGACTTTGCCTCCACATTCAGGTCCTAGCTTTTCATTCATTCATTTGTCATGGTGGGCTCGGTGCTCCCTCCACCTACAGAACCGAGTTGCTAACAGGAGCTAAGTCACAAATGTGTGAGGTTACATGGGCTAACAGGAGCAGAAGGCATATTGTAAGCACCATGACTTTGCTGGAAACATAGAAAATGTAATATTCAATCAATAACTTACCAGTTAGTAATTTTTAACTCTGAAGACAGTTTTATACTGTATCAGGGACCAGACTTAATAAATCAGCAAGTAATTGAAACAATTATCCAAAATAAAATTACAGTTAAAACATGAATACTTGTAATGGACTTGTCCTGAACTGCCTTTTCCTCTAAAGGTGGTAGCCAAGAGATGAATTTAGTTTTTCCCTTATATTAAACACTGCTTATAATAAAGAGCTAGAGGATGAGAGGGCTTCTGAGAAGTCGATCCCAGTTTCAGATGAAGAATGCACTTGGTATTATAGCTTATCTGTTATAAAGGAGATATGCGAGATTTTTAAAGTGAGTGAAATCCCTCAATCATTAAAGATTTTGAAAGGATAGAGGTATGGCTATTCTTTGAGGGAAACCTAAACAGAGAGTTCTGCAATTGCAATTTGTTGCATTAAAACTAACCCAAGAACAGTGATAAGATCACAGACCCCACGGAGGAGACATCCGGGTTTATGATAGCCCAAACAACAGGCATGTGAATCAAATGGTATGTTCCCAAGTCTTCCACAATGTGTTTCTTATTAATGAAGAAATACGAATTACAATAGTGAGCAGAACAGTAGACTGTGCTTCAGAATGAGTGTAGGTGAGACAGAGGATATCATGGCACCTTGTCCTCAGTCCTTATGATGCCTGTTAGTGGGGTTTGCTATCTCTTCCAAATATTCCATTTTGGGTGAGTTTCCCTGAATTTGACTCAAAGCAACTATTGCTACCTAGCATTTCTTACCATCTCCATTCTTTGTTAATGATATGTCACTGATGTCAAAATTAGTGACAATTGAACATTAATATTACTCCTGTAATTTGCTTTCCCTACATTGTAAAACTTTGTAGGCACATAATTGTTCACTACAAAAGAAAAATTTTTGGTGCCTACACTTACAAAACTTGATAATTTTAATTGAAAAAATGAGAAATATAAGATTTTGCTTTACAATGTCTTAATGTCTATAAACATTGGGTATGGGTTTGCTAATTCAATGAATTTTAACAAATAAGCAAAACATTGGCACAAATGTTCATATTAGTTTGCTTTTTCATTTGTTCAGTAAATATTTGTGAGGTGTTGGCTGTGTGTGAAGCATTGATGACCCTCCTAGGTGTGCCAGATATCATAGCCGCTGTATGATTTCTTTCTAAAGCACTGATCCAAGTAAGTATTCTGAGGGGGACAAGATGTCCAGTAAAGCTCACTGACTTGTCAGCCTGTCTAGGATCAAATTCTCACATCTGACCTTCTACCTAGGATGGAACCTTCTACCTAGAAAGGTAGAGGTTAGTAAGGTGAACATGCTGATTCATGAATAAGACTGTGTGATAGATGGTTTAGGACTCTAAGGAATTCTGGCATCTGACAGTCTTGTAAGCCTGGAGAAGTCTTCTAACTTCTGTGTCTTCAGATTTTACTCATTAGGATAGGCATTAATGATCCCCATTCTACTGAGCTTAACAGGCTGGCTAGGCACTTAAATGAAACAACATACATAAAAATATTTTGAAAATATTATAAATATTAACAAAAATGAAATGTTATCATCCTAGCTGTTAAAAAAAATCACTATTTTAAAATATATAGTTATATTGAAGCAGTCTTTTCTCTCTTTGGATGTGGTAAATCCTATTGAAAAAATCATATTTTTTTTTACTTTTCCTTGCTATTT